ATAAGGATACTTGACCAACTCTATGAGCTAGGGACCAAGTGCATTCTATTAAATTTGCAGAAACAAAATGTAAGCAAGACTTATGCACACAAATATAGACTCACTAGTTCACACATATGTGGCCTCTGGGGTTAAGCATGTCTGCCTCCCACTAGAGTGTGACAGCAAGCAGACATAGAGTAATGAGATTCGCTGCAGAGAGCCAGTCAGCAGCTCAAAGAGAAGAAGGCAGAGAGGCGGGGATTTAGATTCCCACACTTCATATCATGTTTGTTGTCATTTAACAATTTCTCCACCACAAGTGCTGGATTTGCTGTGAGTAATTACACTTTGCTATTGAGGAAGAAGCGTCATATCAAGGCGTACAATAAAACCATATTTTCTAACTCTGTTTTTATCAATTGTTAGAACTCTGATATCTGTTTTTAAAAAGTGCCTTGTCAAAGTATTAATGACCCAAGATAGTTTAAACTTCCCCTATTAAGCAGAAAGTACTTTAAAGCTGTGATGTGTAAGAAAAAGTAAAGCCTTATTTCAAAACCTGTTAATGAAGTTTTTTTCACAAAGACCAGTTGTGTGGAATGCACTGCTAAATATGTCCATTCAGATTCTTCAACCTGAGGTCTGGATCTTTGTTTCTACCATTACTTTACCTTTGGCCTCTTGGCTGCTTATCTGGTCAATGCTTCACTGTCTGGCTGGTAGGTTAAGCGAACAGCCATGTTTTGGGGTTAAGTTTTACATCTTTCAGATGACGGCTTGACTAACTCTGTTTTAAATCTCTCTACAGCTTAACTTGACCAGAAAAACTGTTAAATACTGACACCCTAATTTGTTTGTAAATTAGTTTGCAGTTAAACTTTTCTCTTAACTTATTATCATTTTTTAATAATAATTTTCATAATCGTTTTATACTCCCTAATGAAAAGGACTTAAAATCATTGTTTTTATTTTAAAAAATGACTAGATTTTCACAATGTTACAAAACTTTGCAAACTACATTAGCTCATCTAGACTGGTCTATATGAACTCTGCAGATCATTTAATGTTTCATTGTGCAGGGCTACAAGCAGGAGGTAAAAATATATATATATATATAAAAAAAATCACTCTTGATCTTGTTTGCATGGAAGAGAAGTATAGCCAAAGATGTGGTCCCTCCATTCAGGTCTTGAGTTTCTGCCCACATTACTAAATCAGATGCAGATACTTCAGATATAATGTCAACAAATACAAAGAATTTCACCTTACATTAGTTATTGATCTGATTTCACAAAAGCAGGACAGAGTTAGGTGCATGTCACAAAATCTTAGTATCAAGACAACATTTGGCAGTAGGCTTAACTGGAAGTCTGGGTAATACACCAGCAAGGTTTATATTGCAGAGTCAGTCTTAATTGTGTTTTCTTTAGTTCTCAACTAGACAATTAGATAAGATTTAATGAAAAAAATGCAATACAAAAATTAAGAAAACTAAATTATATTTATTTGATGTCTGAAACTTCTGTGCAACTTGACAATACTATCTAATAAAGATTTGCAATATTTTTTATATGAATAGAAGAAGAGAATGCAACTTGGTTTGAGTTCAGCAATTTATTTAAGAAAAAGTGTTTTCATTTTTTTTAAGGTAAAATAGGGAGGTGGTGGCTTAGTGGTTAGAGCATAGAGCCAGGAATCCTTACGTTCTGAGTTTGAGCCGCACAGATTGCCACTTAGGGTCCCTGAGCCAGATTCTTAACCCAAGACCGTTCCTCGGCCGATGCACAGTGGCAGCCAAAAAAAATAAAAATAAAATAATAATAATAACTTGCTTGCAGGAAATTTGTCCTAGTGGGTGTAGCAGTGTGTTTGTGCTTTGAGAAGGTTGCAAGCACCCAGTTCGATCCCGACAGCTGGCACTCTGGGTCCCTGAGCAAGACCCTTAACCCCCGATTGCTTGCCAGCCGCCGCACAGTGGCAGCCCAGTGCTCCCCATGGAGATGGGCTAAGATGCAGAAGTGAATTTCTCCATTATGAGATCAATGATGTTCAGATATTAATTATTAATTAAAATAGTTGAACATTTCACTAATGATTATCTTCTTTTCGCCATTAAATGTATTTTAAAAAATCTAAAATTAAATTAAAGTATCCAATTCGAGACTCAACTTTTTAATTTAGGATACATTTTCTGACATTGCTGAATCTAAGGTTTGTCGAGAAAAAAATAAAAAAATGAAAGAACTTGAATCTACTCCTACTCGTATTCTGCTTCATCTGGGTAAAGGTCGCAGGGGCAACAGTCCCAACAGAGACTCCCAGACTTCCCTCTCCCCAGACACCTCCTCCAGCTCTGCTGGGGGGAAGCCTGTGGCACTCCAAGGTCAGGCAAAAGGCCTAGTCCCTCCAGCATGTCGTAGTTCAGCCCTATCCCCTGTCTCCTCCTGGTTGGACAGCCTGGGGTGTCAAGGTATCCAGGGGGCATCCAGAAAAGATATTTGCGCCACCTTACCAGACTTCTATCGATGTGGAGGAGAAACAACTCTACTCTGAGCTGCTCCCAAATGACCAAGCTCCTCATCCTGCAGAGAAAGCTCATTTTAGTTGCTTGTATTTGGGATCTCATTATTTTTATCGTGATCCAGATTTCATGACCATGGGTTAGGGATATAAACATAGACAGACCAGTAGATCGACAGCTTTGTCTTTTTGTTCAGCTCTCTCTTCATCATGACAGACCTGGGGAAAACTCCTGCTCTGCTTGTACAGAGACCTGATAGACCCATGTATAGGTCTACTGACTAACAGGGCACCATGAGGCACACAGTCAAATACCTTCTCCAGGTCCACAAAACACATGTAGACCAAATGGGCAAAGTCCCAAACACCCTCAATAACCCTGCAGAGAGTGTAGAGCTGGTCCACTGTTGCACAGCCAGGACGAAAATTCACACTTCTCCTCCTGAAGCCGAGGTTTGGCAATTAGTCAGACTCTCCTCTCCAGGACCCTAGCATAGATCCTCCTGAGAGTGTATTTTTGGAACACACCCTCCAGTTCCCCCTTCTTATACAGGGGAACCCCCACTCCGTTCTGCCATTCCAGAAGTACTGCCCGTGAACTCCAAGTTATGTTGATGAGATGCGTCAGCCACAACAGACAAACAAAATTCAGAGCTCTAAGGTACTCGGGGCGGCTCCCATCCACAGCAGAAGCCTTGCCGTTGTGGCGTTTTTGACCACCTTGGTGACTTCAGCCGGGGTAATGCACAAATCCAGCCCTGGGCACCACGTATTTTTTTACACAAAGTATTCCTTCCACTCTCCAAATATATCCTCGTTCAAGGTTGGCAGCTCTCCAATTATACTGAAAACGGTGTTAGCAAAGCACTGCTTCCCCCTCCGGGGGTGCTGGTTTAAAGAATCGCATTGAGGCAGCCAATAATCTTTCCCCATGGCCTCTCCAAACTTCTCCAAGGCCCAGGTTTTTGCCTCTGCTACAAGTGAAATGAGATGCCTGGCCTTACAGTACATGCTTGCTACCTCAGGAGTCCCACAAATCAACCAGGCTTCTTCATCTTGAGCCACACCAGATGTTCCCAGCAGACCCTCACTACTCGTTGGACCTGCCAAGTCTGTACATCCTCTACCACAGTATCCAGCTCACCACCAACATACGACTACAAAGTCTATCATCGACCTCCTGCGTGGGGTGTCCTGGTGCCAAGTGAACTCATGGCTTTTGCCTGAACATAGTTCTCATTATAGATAATCTGTGACTTGCACAGAAGTCCATTAATGAAAAAAATGTAGGGTCAGATCTGGGGGTCTGTTCCTTCCAATCATGTGTATCCAGGTGTCACCCCAGCAGAATGTTTGAATCACCTGGAGGGGTACTATTTCTCAAATGAAATAAACATTTTTATTTGATCCATATAGTTCTTATTAATGAAGTCTATGCTTTTAAAACTATGGAAAAAAAAGACTTTAAGTGCAGCTTTACACAGAGATCAACTTTCTCTTTTGCCTGTACGTTAAGCTAATTGTGGTATTTTCTTCGGTAGTTCCTCATCATCTTTGTTTCATTTTTACACATGATATTTCCTGAAGGTTTTCTAAATGTTGTAACATAAATGTAAAAAAATTGGTTCTGGCTTCCTTAATGCTTTTGTTATTGGTTGTTTTCAACCAGTAAGACCAGCAGTTAAAAACATAGGGCAGTATAAGACATCCTTGCTGTCTTACTGATTTACAGTATAAGAGTCTTCAAAATCGAAGCAAAAGGTTTTTATGATTAAAGTGCTCACTTAAATGTAGTCTTAAAAATCATAAAGATAGACAGGTTACTGTCTCTCCCTCTAGGGAAGGAACAGACAAGCAGATGAGCTGCGAGGCAGTTTTTAATGTCAAAAAGGATGGAAGAGAGCATATAGAGTTAATTGCAGTAAAAGCTTAGCCCATAGCTCTGTCTAGAAGATAAACAGGGGTAAACAGTGAGAAATGGGCCTGACTCTATTATCTATATTTTAAGTTGTTGATGCCAGAATAGCTTCACCATTCAAAGCCACATGCTGGCAGTAAACAGGTAGCATTTCCCTGGGCTGTGTTTCCTTTGACGTATAATGTTGTGGGATTTTGATTCAGAAAGATCTCATAACATCTTGCCAGGTAGGACTGTACCACTGATTACTGATTATTTAGTCCCTATTCTCAAATAAAACATTGCCGAGAAGCCATACATTTCCCTTAGGTTTCAACAGTATCAACCTGCAAATCAGTACATAAAAAAATACATAAATTGGCAGTATTCTCCAAAGATATTAATGTTGTTTTGCAGCGGCGTATGTTGCTTGAAACTGTTTTTCTTCCTCTTTCCTTGCAGAGCTCAGAGTGACTCATGCAGTATATCTACAAGATATACAAACTAATAACTCAATTTTTTTTTTTTTTTACTGTTTGTACCCATTATAAAATGGGTACAAAAAGGTTGCCCTTTTCTAAACACCTGCTTTCCCTCTCAGGTGAATCGTTGCCATTAGCGACCTCCAATCAAATCCTGATTCGCTTTACAGCCAAAGGCCAATCCAGCTCCAGAGGATTCCATCTGGTTTACCAGGGTAAGTGTGGCACTCCGTCATATAGCCTCTCTCCTGTTTTGGGAGACTTGTGAATCTTAACTGAATGAATTAACATCTGTCTTTGTTACTTGAGGGGGGAAAAAAAGAAAAATAGTATGGCTGAGAGGATCTCTATTTTCTTTTATTGTTTTCCTTAAACAATCCTCTGTAGCAGTATTGACATTTACAATGGGTATCTAAAGGCAAAGTCAACACTTGAGGAACTATGGTGAATAAATAATTCAGTCCAACATTTTTTATTCTAAGTAAAATAATGGACTTTTTGTTTTTTTTATATTTTCCTGGGATCCTTGGATCATTCCCCATATTGTTTTATATTAGTGTAAGAATTTTTAAAATGAAATGCCTAGTTTATTGTTCCTTATCTTAACATATTTACTAAAAGCCATGCCATCCCATCTTTCTTTTCTGTTCATAGCTGTGCCGAGGACTAGTGCCACCCAGTGCAGTTCGGTCCCTGAGCCGCGAAACGGACGGCGAATGGGCAACAACTTTGCTGTTGGAGCAGTTGTCCGATTTGAGTGCAGCCCAGGCTACGTACTGGAGGGATCAAGTGCCATCGAATGCTTAACGGTTCCCAATGCACTTGCACAATGGAACAGCTCCATACCAAGCTGCATTGGTAGGAAATCACTACAGCAAACAAGCACATGCGAGGGCAGATCAACCATTCTTACCAGTTAGCAGCCTCTGAATACTTATTGCAGTCTTTTTCTAAGATATTTTTGTTTGCTTTTTAACAAGCCTTATATCTTAAGCAGTGTATTTGGGTATCATCGGATGCCCTTATAGTTCAGACCACATATGTTGACTACAGACAATCAGATTGAGTGATAAAGAGAGATTTAAACAGGAGGCGCACAGGTGCAGGCCACGGGTCAGAAATACACACAGATATAAACAGATGTGTTAACATGGACAGTATTTACAATGATACATGGTCCTCACAAGCAGGACATAAAAAAAGCAGATGTTGCCGCCAGATGTGTAACAAAAAGCCAGAAAGGCTAATCTTATCAATATGAATGACCCCTCAGTAGTAATGACGCTGGTACACTCCACATCACACATGTATGCTGATGAAATTAGGAAATTAGGAATGGTACCTAACATAGTTTGCTCTTTTTTATAACTTTTCTTTATAAGTCTAAATGGGACATTTAAGGGTTCAAAAATTTTATTTAAGTCTTTTTGTAGTAGTTGAAATTTACACATTAAATCCACAAATTTCAATATATTTTATTTATTGGTATTATCCTGTTGGCACATAGGAACCGACAAACAGACCAGTTAAGCATAAGAAATATGTTGTTTCCAAATTCTGGCTTACATTTGTATGAATTTTGTTTTACTATTATATATTGAGACAATAGCCACTGCAATATTCTCCCTTTGAAAAATGACCAAATCAATACTAAAAAAAAATGAAAAAAGTCCATCTGTGAAGCACTTTTCTCTTTTAGGCCTTAGAGATTTTTTGGCAAATATTAATAAACTCTGTAATAAGGAGTTAGCAAAAATTTAAGTAAATAAAGTTATGGGGTCAGGCTTAGGTTATATAAAATATCCCCAAGATTGTACCCAGCATTCCTCTATCAGCAGAAAATAGAGTGTAGCTCAACCATGAAAGCTGAAGACAACTCTCCCACCATGAAACGTGGTGGCAGCATGATAACATCATTCTGTGTTGATGCTATTCTTGAGCTTGGACAGGAACGGTGGATTGAGCCAAATGCATGGCAGTCCTTAGAGAAAACTGTCAAAGACTCAAAGATAAAGTAGAGAAGTCCCCCCTTAAGCTTTAAAACAAGAGTATGGTGCTAAACTTATAACCAGAGATACAACAATGTTTAATTCAAAACATATCCATGTGTTTAAATGACTGTCCAGAATTCAATTGATTTTGAAATATCCAACAAAATACAAAAAAATGCTTTTTATATGCTCTCCACCCAATTAAGACAGAGCCTGAGCATTTTTCCAACTAAGAGGTTAAATTTTCAGTGTCTTGAAGTGCAAAATTGCTCCTGATATAACCCTAAACATGTCATATAGTGTATACTGCATATAATGCATCGCCTCCATTAAGTGACAGACTATAATTATTCTTCTAAGTATACACTTCCTTTTGCTCTGTATGCAAATACTATATTTGGTCAATTAGACACACCTACTTATACTTGCAATTTTAGTGCTACTGATACTATTATGCAGGAGGCCAAAGCACACAGGGTTTTAGCATAGTGGTGGTTTAATGGATCTAGAACAGAAACATTAACTTACAAACCAGCATGTTATTTCAATAAACAGTGTTTACATTACTGCTGTGTTTTTCATCCTTTCTGTCCACAGTTCCGTGCGGCGGAAATCTAACCCTTCGAACTGGCACCATCCTCTCTCCTGGATACCCTGAACCTTACCTCAACAGCCTTAACTGTGTGTGGAAAATTACTGTCCCTGAAGGATCAGGGATCCAGGTTTGTTTTTTGGGTTATTTTCTTTGTATTTTCACACCTCTCTAAAGTCATTGGATTCTGATACAAGGATAAAATGTGATGATTTCTAACAGCACAGTATAAATGACAATAAATCAGAAATCTGCATTTATCTACACTTCCTGTACGTAAAAGAGATAACCTTCACACGTAATAGAGATTATCATCATCTTTAATAATACAAGGATGTACATTTTTGCCTCCTACTTTTCTATAGAATATTTATTTTTTGAGGATTGATCTTTTTTTCCCCCTTAGTTCTCACAATGCCTGTCAAAAGTAAGAGGAGTTAGAAGTTATTAATACATATGAAGACATTTCAGAAAAAAACAGTATAAGCCTTTAATTGGATTTGTGGTTTGGTTTTCCGAAACCTTAATAATGAAGCTTTATGCCGTCAACTATTTCATTTTCTCTGGGAACAGCACAGTAATAACAAAGGAACCTTGTTCAAACTCAAAAAGTAATTCTAAAAATTAATTTGCCCGAAACCTGAGATTCCACAACTTTAAAATTATTTTCTATTTCAATGCTTCTTTAATTACATCACCTTTCTTATTTCGGTCAGTTTGCAAGTAGTGCCTGATGGGAACCTGCTGGAACTTGGGCTAGGTCCCAGCGGACGTGCCTGGAGGAAGGTTTTTTAGCCTATGTTTCAGCCTTTGTATTTAATGACCTCAGCGCTGTCCCCAAGCTATTAGCTCTCCCTTCTTAGCTCACTGTCCTTGCAGGTCAAATACACGACAGGCCACAGGTCCATTTAGCATGCTTCTTTCCACACAAACTCTACTAGTGATTGGATTTTAAATGAATGAAAATTTAGAAAAGGTGAGCTACTTTATCTACAGTTTAGCAAATTAAATAGTCAATAAAAACATGATGAACTAAAAGTTGAACTTATAGGTTTATTCTATTTCTTAAAACACAGGCTCCCTCTCCTTGGCTGCTCTTTTTACTTTACTTGCTTTGGGCTCTATCGCCACTGCTCTTTTCTACCATTTACCAGAAACGCATTAGATTGGAGTGTCTCGATCCGAAAGAGAACTTAGAGGAGCGAGGTGCCTTGTTGGCACATTTGCTGCGGCCCCCTAATGAAAGATCAATCTCTGATCTGCCTCGTCTCCCCAGAAACCCAGTTCTCCAGAGCCCCTGCAGCCCCTTTAATTGGCTCATATCCGATCTATAACCATCACAGGCAGCTGAGAAGGCAGAGGAATGGGCGTGTGAGAGGAACTGAAAGGGAGGCTTGGAGAAAGTGGAAAAATGAGGGATGACAGAGAATACTGCATGAGCGTATATATATTTTAAACCAACGTCTAAGGGTACATTTGCAGTAGCTGACACAGCGTGGCTGATTTCAAACATTCATTTTCATCTGTTGCTCATGCAGTTCCACAGATTTTAAGGTGGGCATGAAATTTGGTCAGAATTAGTTAAATATAAGTTTAAATGCCTCATTTGGGTAACCACTGGGAGCCACAAGACTGCAGTTTCCTCTTAGTATTTTTTTATTAAAGTCAAGACAGTTTCCAGTAAAGTTATGCTCACTTTAACTTTATTGGAAAAACCTATTATGAACTTTATGTAGCTGTCAGTGGTACTAATCTAGTACCTACACCATAAACACAGCTCATCTACATGGTTCTTGGAAACTAATAGAGCATCGAGAGTAATTATAGCTCATTCTTTGTACTTTTACTCTACTTCTTAGATAGGTATATATGTTTTAGGAGACCTTTTCTTCCTTTTAAGCACATGTACTTAGAGATTCTGTTGAGTTCTACTCTAGTAAGGGATTTATAGTACTCATTTCTTGTTCAGAGAATATGTCATCTATGTAGGAGTGGTTTATATAATGCATATCTGGCAATTTAAGTTCAGAAAATGTTCCAGCCAAATTCCCTTATATGGTTTAGAATAAATTATTTCAATCTAATTTATCTGAACCTGTAGTTCTTAAACAGCTACTTGTTTTTCTTACTAAGAAATTTTATATGACAAACTTTTTTATTGTTAAACTAGTATTTACTTTGTTTTCATAGATCCAAGTGATCAGCTTTGTCACTGAGCAGAACTGGGACTCACTGGAGGTCTTTGATGGAGGCGACAACACTGACACACTGCTTGGCAGCTTCTCGGGTAAATATAATTCTATTTCTAATTCATGCAAGAGGCAATATATACTGTAGTGTCCCAGTCAGATTTCATAAAGTAGAAGTAAACAGCCAGCTGCATTTATGAAACATAGGAAGAGCTTTTTTGATTTCAGGGGATCTCGAGAGTCTTTCCTAATTCTTAAACGTGCGGCTTACTCTGCCAAAAAGTGGCCTTTCTGCAAGAATTATGCTTCTAGATGGATGACAAAATTGAATCAATAAATTTGTCTAAATTAAAGAAGAGACAATTTTTTTACACATATTAAAATCTAGAGGGTTGAAGTAACATTAATTTGCTCCAACTGCTTCTTAAAATACTATTAATCATCTCACTCAGTCTCCGTGTATACATTGGAATATCTCTATTGAGTCTCGATCAAAATACAATATACGGTAATTAAATCCCTTATTTACATACATATTTTTAGAGCACTATACAAAGGTTGCAAAAAAGGTATATTAAAATAACTAAAGTTAAATATAAAAAAAATAATTATGATAAAACATGATAAGGTTGTCTTTGTCTGTTTACTGTATAATGCAAGTAAAATATATACAATTTTGTAATCTAAAAATGTAAAAGAGTAAGAGGTATAAATACAAGACTCTCTGTATTCTATATGGTATTTGTTATGCATTTACATAAAAAAAACTCTAAATGAAAGTGAACACGTGTAAAAAGTTCTATCTTTTTAGTTATTTGCCTTTGCCACGTGCAGTTAACCATGGATGACATAGAGAGGAAATGTTACCGCTAAACTGTTTTATTAATCTTCTCTTTTAGGAACAACAGTGCCAGCACTCCTCAACAGCACCTCGAACCAACTCTACCTTCACTTCTTCTCAGATATTAGTGTGTCTGCTGCTGGATTCAGGCTGGAATACAAAAGTGAGTTAAAACACTCGACCATTTAGCTGAAATCAAACATGAGTATGTATTGTAGAATACCAGCAGGTCTTTCACAAAAAAATGCATAAATGCTAGCATTGTTTCCTCTAAAACCTCATATGTTAATCATATTTCATTTTCTTTCTGTATTTTCCTTGGTCTCATCAGCGGTGTCTCTGACCAGCTGCCCAGAACCTGTAGTTCCCATGAATGGTATCAAGATTGGGGAGCGTCTTCAGATGAATAATGTGGTTTCTTTTCACTGTGAACCTGGATATACTCTACAGGTAACACCTGCTGCTTTCAAACAGACTTCAGTCACAAATTACCTTAGAAACTACATTGCTGCTTTTGTGGTAGGTTCGGTATCATCCTTCTCAGCTTTGCTTTTCAGTTTTCCATGAAACTGCACTGATGTACAAGAATGTACAAGAGATGCAGGAAATGATCTGTCATGTCTTGCCAAGGTTTATTACATTTTTGTTCCTTTTTATTTATCCTTTTGTTCAATTTTAATGAAAGGTACTTTAATGATTATACATAGAATCCTGGTTAAAATCATCAATACATTCTAAGGTTTGTTGTCTTAGAACCAAGGAAAGATTATCTTTTTAGATCCTTAAATGAAGTGAACTAACTCCATAAAAGAATGAGAGGGTGTCATAATTACCACTTTTAATGAACTAAGTGGATAAAAACATATTTTTTTTGTCTTTTTTTTGTGCATTCTGGTTCGTTTTAGGCACAACTCATTGATGGGGGGCTTCAACAATGATCCCTGAATCTAGGACAAACGACAAGCCCTAATATTGACTTTATGGACTTTTTCTCAGCAAAAAACAGTCAAAAACATCATGAGCTCATTTAATTTGACTCAAAAAAAAAAAAAAAAATGTGTCCCTCCATAATTTAGCAAAATATGTCAGATTAATATGAGAGACCAACCTATGAATCTTAGCTGTTTCAGAAAATATATTTGACATAAAATATCTACCAGATGTAAAGGCTTGCTGTAGAACCCTTAGCTGATTCGACACAGTAAGAAATAAAAGTAAGCTGATTTCTGTTTTATGTGTAAAATATCTTTACTTATGAAGTGAAGTTGATATTTCACAAACTCATTTCAAGTTAGTTAGTTAGTTAGTTAGTTAGTTAGTTAGTTAGTTAGTTAGTTAGTAAGCAAGCATCGCTTTAGTTGTGTGTGATTTTTAAATCTTTATTTGAAAAAGGATCTGATTTTTCAATATTTACTTGTGTATACCCAGGTTTTAACAGTGTCTGAATTGATATGTTTTACTAAAATAGAATTGTGTTTATCCTCTTCACTTTGGTTTCAAGGCAAGATTCAATAATACATCACTATTTGCAGCAAGCAAACAGAAACATACAAAGGGAGTTTTTGCAATAAAGTAGCAGAGAAGAAGGTTGTACTAATTGTTGCCTTCACATAGGAAGAACTGCTGTGCACAAGCACTTAAACAGTCATTTTAATAAAAAAGGTAGAAAAACACAGCCAATATTGAAAACCAAGGTAACTTATATCTTAACTAAACTAAACTGAATAATTTATCTGAATAAAAGATTAATAAATAAATAAATATTCCCAACATCAGAGCCAAGTTTTACACTTTTCCATTTGCTTCATTATTAAGGAATAGATTCATTTAGTTTGTTTTTTGTGTTTTTTTTTTAACCACCAGCTCTGTTAGAGATAATATTGGTTGACTAACCGGATGGTGAGTTCTGTGCAGGATGCACAGTATGAGAAGAATGTTGTTCCTTTGTACCAAATATGTTCATGTTTCAAAAATCATCTCTCAATGGTTGAGGTTTTATTAGCTGCACATCCCCAGCAACCCCGTGTTATATCTGGTGCTGAGAAACATGCTTACTTTTCTTTTCTGCTTTGAAGAGCTCACTTTCTTTCACTTCAATCATCATAGATTAGAAAGTCTTGGATGAATAGATTTCCTTGCCTTTGATTATAAACAGGTGAGTCTGATCTTAGTTATGGCAGAAGCTATAAATAGCTGAGATTAAGGTATTAAACCTCAAGCTCAAATTCCTCTGAAGATATTAGGACCTCTTCCAGCAGTAGACTCTGTGGAAAGAGATGTGAGAAAAAGTATATTAAACAGTTCAAAGACTTGACACCAAAATCCATATGAGGTCTCAACCTTTTGTTTTATTATAACGAGAACTTCTACATAGTGTGAGTAAACAAATATAATCAAAAAGGTGAGCTGAGTTCAGATCTTCTAAAGACAGAATATAGAGACAATTCTGTAATTTTCCCTACATGATAATCCCATCGTAAAGCCACAATAATAAATGACACCGGATAAATTTGGTCATGTATCTATCATAGATGGTCATCCGGAGACAGTTTCTGGGCTTACGCAATAACAGCAACAGATATGTTACCATAGTGCAGTTTATTTCTTTCTTTATATTTTGTCTCCATCTTTTAACTTGAGTTATCTTTGCAGGGAAATTCTCACATTACCTGTATGCCTGGAACTGTCAGACGATGGAACTATCCTCCTCCTCTCTGCATTGGTAAAACCCGTTCTCATTTATTTAATGTTTTCACCTAAGTACCACCTTTTTTTGTTTCATAAAGTAAATGTTACATGGCATTGACATGGCTTTACATTGTACAACCCAATTTTGTACATATGTTTACTATACAGTGGATTGCTAAAATAGTTAGACTCCTTCATCTTGGCAGCTGCTAGTGTGGGGTACCTATCGAACGGGGGGATTTATTAAAATAGGAATTGGGGATTCAACCTTTCTGATTCTAGGTGCTATGGATGGGGGGGGGGGGGGGGGGGGGGGGGGGGGGGGGGGGGGGGGGTAGAGTTTTATTAGGTTTACAAATACAAGTATGAATTCAAAATATTTGTCTACGCATATGAGCACCCACTGACACACCTACAGTATGCACCAACATGAGATCACTCCAAAAGATTAAAGATCCTGCAAACACTAAAGTAAAGCTGGATATAATGAAGATATTACACAGTAAGTACACCATAAAGACATATCCTTTCTGTAGAAAAACCTGTCCCAGCACATGTAGGCAACCATCTGCATGGTGGGAGGAGACAGGACATGTTCAAAGAAAAGAAGAAAATTGGGACTCAATTCCAAGTCACAGGGTTCAGTCCCACAATGCTGCCCTTAAGAGGCCCGCCCCACTGGGAAACATGCAAGTGAAAGACTCCTGCTGTGGGGATATATTTTCTAAAATCGAAACAGGAAAGTCTATCAAAGTGTTTGCCAAGATGGATGGAATTGAATATTGAGCACTCCTGGAAGAAAAATACCTAAGACCGGCAGAGATATTACACTGTGTGTGAGGCAATAGCAGTAAATATACATTTAGGACTGCACAGGAACTTTTTGGATCAAAATACTGATGGTGTCAATGGAAGCCTCCCTTCTGTCTTTGACACTTCATCTTGAACAATGCGGTAATCAAATGCCTACAGGTTCTATGTACCATCAAATCTACTTACATTTAAGTGCTTATTTTTTAATTTTTTATTTTTTACATTTGATTATGTGTTTCATTATTATCCAATGTAAGTCGCATATTTAAAGCTGACTTAAACAGTGGATTTGGATATCAACTTATTGCATGTCACAATCCTCTGATAAACACCAACCTCTTCTTTTTCCTTTCCAAAATAAACCAAAAAATATATATATATTACAACTGGTTTGTTTCTTTTTGCATTTGTAGCTTTAAATGAATGTTTAACCTTGAAAACTAAGTGAATTCAAAGAAAGAAACTGTATAAGGTTTCAACTCTCATTTGTAAAGAGTTTCTGCCTGTGAAATAGCCTTGACAAATGAGCTGCGCTTTTTGGAACAACCTACTATTGCCTAATTAGTTCCATCTCAACACTGTGATTGGATGAAACGGGAGGAAGATTCATCGTGTTTACAGGCATCAGCAGTTTTCTGATTACAACTGGTTTCTACAGGACAGTGTTTAACCCCTCGCTTATTCACTTTCTTTTTTCATTAGTACAACTCCCCATTTTCCCCGTTTTGTCTTTATCCACCGACTTTATACCAGTGTATAATTTTGTATTTACCTCTTACTCTGTTTTTCTTTTTTCATACTTTCCCAGCAGCATGTTCCATGTCCTTATTTACTAAGTTTAATGTTTTACTGTTATTTACACTTTTCCTTTATTCATTAATAAATGTACTTTTCAATTTGGGGTCAGGATATTAGAACTGAAGCTAATGATTCTGAAAAGTTTTTCATTGTTTCAAGTCTTTTACAGATGTTATTTAAAAACTCAAGTCATTTATGAAGGTGTGATTCTGTTTTAACTAAAGATAAACATCTATTTTGTGTAAATAAAAATCCTTTTTTATTTACTTTGGTTTTATGCATCTATACTCCACTCGCTTACATATAATCTCCTCCTTACAGTGAAGTTCCCAAGGTATTTAGGGGATTACTACGGTGTTTTGGTGTGTTCACGCCTAATACTTTTTCAGGATCAATGAAATGTCACTTTGGACACATGTGAACATAAAACCAAGACAGACACAGCTGTAGGAGCATTCCTGCTTTTTCTTGTTTTTTCTTTGAGGGTCTCTTGTGTAGACTGATGCAATTAAAATAGCTTTATTTTGGCTTTATTTTCATTATTGAGTGGGGAAAAAGATTTTAACTTGTTCTTAAGATAAAATAACCTCACAAAACAGTCATAAGTCAGTTAATCAAAATTATTCTCTTATTCTGTTGTTTAACCGCAGACCCCTGTATACAGGTGGGAGATAGTGCTGTGAATTTTATGATTTCCCACTGCCATTTATAGCACCTAAACATAAATATGAAGCATTTTTTTAGGTTTTTGGTAAAAACTGTGAGTATCATGGCATAAACCTGAATATTCTTCACCATCAGTTCTTTAAGTAAATGTAGCTAATAATTAGCACTAAGGATCAAAGCAGTCTCATTTCACTTATACATAAAAATACCTTAAACACACACACACACACACAAACATATATATATATATATATATTTTATTAATTTTTTTTTGTGGTTTTATGCTGACCTCTCTGAAGGAGGAGAGATCACGGCTCGGATGCTGTGTCTGTCTCCCTCCTAGGCAGCTACTGGATAAGCTTCTCTCATTGATCTACTCTTCGGACAACCTCCACGCTTTTAACACTCAAAGTGTGCTGCTCCAAATGCTCAAAACGCATTACAAGACCTCTTGAGGCACATCCACTCTAGACTTTGCATGTAAACCGGTCGCCCCAGGCTTTCAAAAACTAGTTTGTACTAAATGTAGCTTAAGTTCCTGTATCTTTAGGACTATTTTACCTCTGTAAACTTTTTCATCCATTCGTTTAATGTTACCCAGTATCCTTGTAGTTTCTTGATATACTGGAGAATGGTGGCGAGTGAGGACTCCCTTATGTTTCTGAGAAACTGCAGTGTCCATTTAGACAATAGTGTTACATGAATGGTCCTCCCAGGCTTGGATTCCCTAGTTTTATTTATGTACCTGTTGTTACCATAACCTAATCTCAGTTGAAAGGGAAAGACAAGGATAACATGTTGCATTTGTTTTAAAGTGTTTTATCTGAATCTTTATTTTTTTCCCACTGTGCCTTGGTTTTGAAAAAGCTTGGTGTGGTTACTTACGTTTTATTTTGTACTATTTAATGTCTGTCTGTCTGTCTGTCTGTCTGTACATTTATTTAGTAAAAGCTAATTAAATGCTTTTTCTGCTAGCACAATGTGGTGGAATCCATGAGGAGATGGAGGGAATGATTCTCAGTCCTGGTTTCCCTGGTAACTACCCTAGCAACAGTGACTGCACCTGGAGAATATACCTGCCTGTTGGTTACGGTAGGCATCATTACAGCCTTGCAGGAGATATTAAACTAACTATTCTGCAACTAATAGTAGACATTTCTTAATGTGGTTTACTACAAATTTACATTCAAACTCATGTGCAGGATTACTGGGTTTTAATTTCTAATTCACATTATTTTTATTATTTCCCACTTTTGTTTCAACTCTATATGTCCCAGGAGCCCACATACAGTTCCTTAACTTCTCAACGGAGGCCAACCACGATTTCTTAGAGATACGAAATGGTCCCCTTGATACCAGTGCTGTGATTGGTCGATATAGTGGCCAGGATATCCCATCATCTCTTCTCACTACCTCCCACGAGACCACAGTTTATTTCCACAGTGATCACTCGCAGAACAAACCAGGTTTCAGATTTGAATACCAAGGTAAGATCACAAATGTGAAGAAATGTATGTAATCACTGCCTAGAAAATGACTGTTTAAGGGAGTTACACTAACCCTTAATATAAGACGTTTATCAATCACCAACTGTTAAACCCGAAATAGTCATAAAGTTTATATTGATATAGAGGAATCCACTTAGATTTATAAAGTCTTAATACCCTTTAAACCTTTGTAGATTTTGTGATGAACAAACTCCATCTAGTCTTTCATTTAGAGTATATGTGATAGACTGGCACACAAAGTAGTGTATTATTAGAGTAAAGGAAAAAATTATGCTTAATTTCTAAATAATTATGCAAATAAATATATGCAAAGTCTGACCGGCACTTTTAATGTGTTCTCGTTTTTATATTTTGTTGTGCAAGTGACCTTTATTCATTACTGTCTTGACGTAGTGAAGATGAACTGTTTTGAGAGCTACAGCCAATAGCCGAAATGAATATAGTGGTATATATATGTATTTTTACCAACCTTTTCCAGATCAGATGGAGAGCGCCTGTGAGCAGCAGGTTTCAAGTCTTTTTTGGTAGACCAGTAAATGTTAAATGTGTCATGCTCACACAAGTACTTGCATGTATTTAAAACATTCTGTTGTCCTGCTGGAAGGTAGACACCTAGTCCGTCACAACATTTTTTTCTGCAGGGTTCAGATTACCTGATTAACACAATCATAAAGGGTTTAGGTGTGTGTTGGTTTTTGTCACATATTTCAGCCTTGTTTATATCTTCTACATGTTGATTGTGCTTTTAAAATAACTGTCAAACAAGACTTTCTTCAGCAATGGCTATGGATTTGCCAATAATCTTTACTACATTTAAGGCTCCATTTATGGAGCAGACTTTTAGTATATGTCCTGTCAGCAAAATCACCGATCTGATCTGTGGATGGCTGCAGCTCATCCAGGGTTGTGATGGGCCTCTTGGCTTCTTTTTAGAGTAATACTTTTCTGGGCCAACCTATACGTTTAAATGAATGTATGCTGGGGTATAACACTGCTTTTGTTCAGAGCATGAGGTATTTTTTTAACATTATAACCTGAACTGGACTCATTTGAGTGAGGGACTCCCAACACCAATAGGTTTAATACTTTCAGTGATTTTTTTTTATTTATAATGTTTTTTGACATGTTTTTAGGTAGTGTAACATTATTGGTAAATTATTCTTCACACTGACTCTAAAAAAAGAGAAAGGCTAATTGTCTATTTTTTTTAGTATCTAAAGTAAGAACAGTTGAACCTGTGAACAGCAGTATCACGGTTTGTGAATTAATGGCTCTCACTTCATATCTTCATTAGGTAAATTACCCTTATCTAAATTTGAAACAGGCAACCAAAGTTTATATTTTAGTGATTCAACAAGCGTGCCAACAACTGCAAAGGTAGTATTGTTCATTTGCATAATTATGGACAAATTAGCATATAAATCAAGCTTTGTATTTGCAAAATCCCCCTTTCTGCAGTATTTGCATGAGTTATCTTCCATAAAGGGAAACTGCAATCCATAGAAATCAAATCCTTTAGTCATTTTTATATCCCTTCCATCAAGGCTCACTGCCTGCTCTACTCATGTATCCTAAAGGGGAAAAAGTGAATTATTTACTCTCAGTACCTCTAGTAACTGCATCATACTCCAGCAGCACATTGCAAACGTGCCTCTAGTGGTTTTTCCCTTCAAACTGAATGAGTGGGAGGTGAAGGAAGACAGACTGGAACAACAGTGATATTTGGATGGGGAATAAGAGAACAGGCAATTTTTAATACATGAATTAAAGAAGCTTTCTAATCTGCTCATTAGATATGTACTGGCATTTATAGTCCCATCTTAACTGATTGTTGCAAAAGGAGTTAATTTTTATTTTTGCTGTACTATGATTGATGAAAACATTTTAGCTTACAGTAGTAGCCATTCAAAATTTCACTTTCTGTGATGGGCCCTTGGTAGGTCCCCTACAATTCCTTTTTAAACATCAATCTTTGTACTAAAACATTCTTTCTTTCATGATTTGTGGACATTAAGATCTAAAGAGAAGCGTAATTTCCTGGTCAGATCCTGTAATTCAGTGAAAAGGGAAGTCAGCAAAAAAGGGAAGTCAGCAAAAAAGTCAGTAAAAATGCAAGACAGGGTACCTCCAGTGGCTGGAAGTTGGAGGGGATTTCGCTGGGAGTTGGAGGGAAGTAGGCGTCCAATTCAGCTGGCGTTTGACTGGGAAGGGCCCTGTTGAATGGCTGCTGCTGTAACAACGTGAGAAAAGCTTCAAGAGGGTACAAATCATGATATTAAAACTAGTGCCTGGTAGGGGATTTTATTCCCATTATAGTGTCCTGTTAGTGTACAAGTAGACTAAAAAAAACAAAGAACACCATGTTGAGGTTTTAATCTTAGGTTTGTATTTGGGGGCTGTGTGTTTTTGGTTAAAACTGTTAAAAGACGAGGGAAACATCTGTGCAATAAAAGCCATCTTAGAAAAATCTAGAATCAAGGGTCATTGCAGAGACACTGGTCTATGGGTTGCAGGATATTTTTGATTTCTTGGAGGAAAAAACATTGCTTTCTCTAGTTTATGAGTCCAACTATTATATTCCCCAGAATTTGGAAATTGTGAGAAAAATAATTAAAATAGGGATAAAAAAAATAAGGTATGGTGTTTAATTTTTTTTGTTTAAGTAAGCATGGAAACAAATAAGTATGTATGAAAATATCACATAAAAGATAACAAATTGAGTGGCAGAAAATAGCAATTTACAAAACTCCTACAGTTAAATTGAAAATGTGTTTGCTAAACAGATCTCAAACCGTTTGCATAAGACCCAAATAACAAAAACCTCACCAGAAGATGCAGCATTTTTAGATAATTAAATTTGAGGACCAGATTTGGATGTGTTTAAAGTAAACCAAGACACAGCTGTAGTCAAACGTTGTTTCTCTTGCTGATACTTCAGAGATCAGCTTCTACAAAAGATGAAAATATTCTAATGGGAATTATCTTCTTATGACTTCAAACACAGAATCCTTTTCTTTTAATTTGGTAGTGGTTGTGTTAAGGTTTACTTTTAAATAGCTTCTAATAGGCAGGTTTATTCATCATCTTGTTTGATTTTACTCACAGTGCAACAAATAGAGTGGATTTAGTAGTATGTCCAACAGTTTAATGGGAAATGCAATTCAGTGGCTAGGTTAATATTATGCAATTCAGCAAAGCACTACTAATATGACTGGAAAAATTACAGAGAGGTTATTCAAGGGCAAATGTAGAAAGTTGTAAACTGACACTACTTGGGTTGTGCAGTTTTTAATTTATAAAGACTCCTTTCAGTGTTTTGTTTTGTATAAAAGTAGCCATGGGTTATTGGATAATTAAATTGGGATATAAATAAATAATAGAATTTGCCTTTGATTTTCCTTCAGCGTATGAGCTACAGGAATGCCCAGATCCAGAACCGTTCCGTTATGGAGTAGTGGTTGGTGCAGGCTATAACGTGGGCCAGTCCATTTCCTTTGAGTGCTTGCCTGGTTACCAACTGATGGGAGATTCCATCCTGACCTGTGAACATGGCACAACCCGCAACTGGGACCATCCATTTCCTCGCTGTGAAGGTAGGTCACAACACCTTCCCTTCAATACCACACTAACATTGAAATATGTTGTATTTATAAGAATATTGGTAAAATAATTCCAGACATGCATGAATGCAAGACTAAACTCATTACATGATAACTTCCTGTTAGGAACTTATAGACCTTTTACATCATTATTGTAAAATGCAGCCATGAAGATAATGATTATCTATTATGAATAATGTAATTAAAGTGAGTTATTATCCCTCATTAATGAGGCAAAGTAGTCTTTAATGAAAATCAATGCTGCGCTAAAGAGGAGTGGAGACAAATAAAAGATGAATAAAAGAGGGCCTCAATTGAAAAGGAAAAGTAATGGGAGTTCTTTCTTTTGCCGTGTCCTTGACACACATTCTCACGCTCCAGCTGTCGATTATTCAATAAGGCAGGCAAAATTACAGAGGGAGGTGATGGCCGTGACAGTGAAATTCTGAATAGGGGAGCACGGAGATAAATGGAGGAGAGGGAAGAAGCAACCTGCAAGAAAGCACGGGAGATAATTTATTTTTGAAGTTGTTTTCTTGTTTCAGGATTTTTTTTTTTTCATCAAATTTTTCATTTTTCATGGATTTGTTTTTGTACGCGAACACAGAGTTTATTTTATTTTATTTTAGTTTTTTTTATTTTACGATAATACATTTACAGTCTAGGCACTTACAGAATGTGGATTACTTTGTTTCTTTTATGAGTCCCACTTGACCCTATGCAGTAAAACTGGATCTTTAGTCTCTGGCATTGCTGTATTATCATAGATTTCCTTTAAGGGGACACAAGTGCATTGATTTAGCCATCTGAGCTGCACTAACCTGCTTGTTCTTGCATTATTATTATACCATGTTGTATGTGCGGAGTTGACCTTTCACTCCTAAACTCCTCCTTTCTCACCACCTGTTTTTCTGCTCATTCATTTTAAAATTATAGCATAAAAGATTGTGGGTGAAAATTCAACAACATGAATGGATATTACTAGTTTAAAACATTACAATTTAGCTTTTTGTTCTTTGTCAGTAACTAGAAAGGTAGAAAGAAGTTGGAAGATAATGATTAAAGAAAATGAGCAGGCATATTGCATCATATCATTCCATATTTAATTAGTTATAAATTTATTCCCCCAAAAAAGTTACCTTAAAACATTTCTGCCTTCAGTATTCGTTTTATACTTTACCAGATATACCCTTTTCACATCTTAGGTTTCAGAGGCTTAGTACTCCATGGATCAGCCAGAGTGATAACTCTTCAAAGTATTTAGATTTTTATCTGTGAGTCTGATCAATAGTTCATTTAACAGGTGACTCAGAGGTTCAAGGTTAAGCCAAGTGGGCTAAAACAGCCAGCTGTGTAACGTGAACGCACATGAGCCGGGTGGGGCTTTGGGTTGGATTTTATACACGTAGCAATCCAAGAGTTTCCTGTTAAGCCCAATACCCTCGCCGGCTCTCTAGTAGCGCCTGCACTGCTGCGATTACTATTCCGCCTGAGTTTACCCTGCTCATCCACCGTGGGTATGAGCAGCACCAGGGGGAATGTCATGCGACTTTAAACCTCTCAGTTAGAACTTCCTGAATTTAAAAGGAATATTTAAAAAAATGCTAAATTCTTATGTTGTTTGGAGGCTGAGCGCAGTGATTTGAACTAGTATGCAGTTGTTTTATACCCAAAGGTATCAGTCGTGTGTGCAACTAAAGATTCAAATGTTAGCAATCTTGACATTCTTATTCTGTGACAGCTTTTCTTGTAAGTCTAAATTTAAACATCCATGCACATCTACTCCTTAGATATATATTATGTACATACACACTCCTATAAACACGCATCAGGAGCCTGGTGCATGCTAACACCCCCTGCCTCATCCTGCACTCTTTTACTACAGCCTCAATGGAAAAGGGTTGAGCCCTTATCTTTGCAAAACACTCTATCCAACTCCCCTCTTACTAAAAGGCTTTGCTGGCTAATCTTAAGCTCATACAAGTGCCTGGGCAATAGAGGAAGAGTGAAGTGAAGAGAGAAAGACACCGAGAAGGAAAGCAAAAGAGGTGGAGAGTGAAAAATCTCCCTTTTCTGTTTATGTGCATGTCTTGTACAGGATTCCTGAGCCACTGAATTATATATATTTTACTTAACTTTGTCCCTTCCTCCACATTCTCTTAGTGCCTTGTGGTGGCAACATCACGTCAGACAACGGGACCATCTTCTCCCCTGGATACCCAGAGGAATACCCAAACTCAGCTGACTGCACCTGGCTCATTTCAGTGGCTCCTGGCTTTGGAATCAAACTGAACTTCACTCTGCTTCAAGTTCATGGCCCACATGACTTCATAACAGTCTGGTAAGATATGCCAAGGATAAATTACATACTTAAAAAAAAATACCTTACATTAATGATATGTTGTGCACACCTTTGTTTAATATAGTTAGTCTAGCTAAATAAATGTTGATATTGTGGGCATTGTTTGTGTTTAGTACATGTCTGACCTATTGACAGAGGTTTGAAGCTATTTTCGTTTTCCTTTGCAAACTATAAATAGTTTTTATCAAAAGTGGTGGTAAAATATTTATATCGGGGGCAACTCTTAGCAGGTGTATAAGAAGGCAGTGACTGTGGAACTAGATTTTAATTATTTAAAACTAACACAGAATGGTTTATAGTTGACATTTAAACTTGTCTTTAGCCCCTCATATCAGCAAATAGCAGTTTTGGCACTGATTGCTGTAAAAGTTCCTGCCTATTCCCTAGGGAACACTGACCCTGTTTGTTTCTGTTTTGTTTTTTTTATCTCTAAGATTCTTAAAAGGTCAGCTAACATTTCAAACGTTCGGGTTCCATATCAAAAAGGGTTTGAAAGCTCAAAAAGACTAAACAGAGCAAGTTTACAGATATTTACATTCAACCACTGCTAAAGTTTGCACCAGGTAATTTCCTGTCAATGTTTGGAAAAATCACTAAGGTATGCAAAAATGTAAATCCAAGAGCAAAAGATTATTTATATATATATATATATATATATATATATATATATATATATATATATATATATATATATATATATATATATATATATACATATATATAAAGTAAAGTATACCTTTGGCGCACAGAGAGACCCAATTAGAGCAGTAATTTTATCACAATTGTAAAAGATATACATAAATATTTTGCATTCAAGTTAAAAAAAATATATGTTTTCATCTGTCAATATGCTCTATCCAGAACCCCTCCAGTGGAAAAGTATTAGTTTCACCTGGTTTAGTTTTGCAAAAAATTCTCTTTAAGGAACTTTTTGCTATCTGATTATTAATCGAAAAAAGTACAACCTCTTTAGCAATAATGATCAGCCAACTTTGAAAAATACAATTTGTCCAAAATGTATCTATCCAATAGCTTTCTACTGCTTTTCTGAATATAATTTTTTTCATTCCTGATACTAAAAGTAACTCTAAGTTCTGTGGTAACACCTCAAAAGGTGTGATAATAAGTTCACCCTGGTAATGCGTGGTGCATTTAGTGACCATATACAGTAGAGATTGTAATTTTAAATCTCTCTCAGATTAAATCTTTTTATGAAGGCCTGAAGATCTTCCAGTTCCACCATCCAGTTTCTCATTTCACCTCAACGTGAAGTTGTTTTTTACATGCGGTCTTATTGTTGAAAATACTCAGCTTTGGCATGGCTTTCTTTGTTGCTTAATGGTTACATTATATTTGTTAAACCCTGGGAGAACAATCAGAAGAAGAAGTTATTTTTGGAATTTTGGACGACTATTTTGTGTCTTAATGGCTGGCTGATGTTCTGAGGGATGATGCTTCCTTTCATGGTTTACATATGGGTGGACCTGCCATATGTATAGCCAGAGACAGGATTTTACATGCGTGATGGTTTCCAGTTTCTTTTGATCCCTTGCTTTCCTAAGAAATCAGCCAAATGTATCAGCTCTCATTGATACCAGAGATGAGTCTGCCAGTCTCCTAGGCAACTGAAAGACCACACAAAATGTCGAAAATCTGTGGGCTGACAGCTGTGTTTTAGGGTTTTTTGATGACGGAGGATTTCATGTCAAACTCAAAGTAATACTCTAAATGACCAATTCTCATATTTTTGGGGCTTTGTCTTTCCTATGTCAGTAGTATCACTTGTGATCTTTTCGAATAAATTCCAGCACAGTCAAGATGTTGACTAAACATCTCACATTCCCCACTTTCAGTTAACATTGCTGTGAATCTATTCACCAAACCACTGAGCCAAGGAAATGGGCCCCATAATGGCAGCTTGGCTAGAGTGCTGTCAGACAGCAGTCCCCAGCCAGCCGTTTCCAGAGCTGCTTGTAATCTCCCATGCCCAGTATGACAGCCAAAGACAGATGGTTTCTAAGCTGAATGGTTGTGGCTGAAATCTGGGAGCTGGCTTAATTGGCCATGCCCCCACCAGGGGGACTGCCAAAGCAGGGCTTCCACTTCCAGAGACACTCCCTTTGGATGTCTGTTACCAGGAGCAACGCAATCCAGACCTGTCGTTCCGCTCTTAGCTGTAATTTCTACTTTATTCTGGCATATTAATATAAAGCAAGAGAGCAAAATGTGTTTGGGTTTAACGAGAAGAGAGGCTTCATGATGCATGGGAATAGAAGCTTGATGACACATGTCATGCGTGTAGTGTAGTCTAGCTTCATTTTCAGAACCTTTCAGCATTCTTACAGTAAAAGAACCTAAGATAGAGCAATACTTTGGGCTGGTATTAGCTTTTTTGTTGCATAAGTGCATGCATTTTGGATTCATTAGTACATCCTGCAGCAAAGATTTGAGATTAGATGAAGAACATGCATTGCCACCTCTTCTATTTGCTAAACATTGTTCATGTTTTCTTTGATTTGCTATTAAACATTTTTTTTGTTTGTTTAAATGGATGTTGCATTCAACAAGGCAGCACATACTGTACCATATCAGTAACTCATATCAAAGTAATTGTCATCGTTTCGTCATTGGATTGAAAAATACTGTGTTGGTCGATCTTCAAACATAACTAGTCAGTCAGATTAGTGTGAGTCACTTGCTCTGATGTTGTTTTAGATGGTTAGTTTACCTACAATATTTATACCCCTTAGGGATGGTCCACAGGAGACAACTCGAAAACTAGGTATCTTCACTGATGGAGAGCCCAATGACCCACCCCGTAGCACGTCCAATCAGGTGTTGATACGGTTCCGCAGCAACACAGAAAAGGGCGGATTATTCCAAATTAATTATCAAGGTATGTACCTCAACATCTTCTAGTCATTTTTTAATTTGTGTATATCTGTGTTTGACTCCTTTCATATCTAATACATTAAATTAAGCTTACAGACTTCAGTACTGCCTTCCTCCGCCCATCATTCCTAATGCCGAGATCCTGATGGCAAGCAAAGAATTTAAAATCGGTAGGTGGAAATAGTCTCACATCAATTTCATAGAGTACACATACAGATGCAGACACAATCACTGCTATTTAGACAATGCTCTTGTTTTATATTGGATTTTGTGCCATTGTGACTTGGGAAAGTGTTGCATGCTAAACCATTAATCCCAACAGGGAATTACATTCCGGTTTTGACAGTTTACATTGCTTTAGGTAGAGCAACACTTGCCATCATTTAAATTACATGGCAAAGAATGAGAGTAAGTAATCAGAAGGGAGACCATGGGACCACTGCTCATAACATATTTCTGTTGTCTTCTATAAAATAGACATGAAGTTTCCTCACTTCTTTATTTTCAACACTGTATGATCAGTTGCTATTATGAGCTACATTTCCACCATCCATTGGGAGTTTATTATTATGGTAATGTACTCTTTTTTTCGGAGAGAGTCGAAAATTGCACATACATCTATGCTAGGAATCCATTTTACTGTTGCCACCACTGATTTGTCTCTGACTTTATCTCTTTCCACCTCTCTGATCAGGTGATATAGTTCGCTACAGATGTCTTCCAGGCTACCAGCTAAGTGGAAATAGCATCTTGACATGTCGACTAGGAACACACTTAGAGTTTGAAGGCCCACCACCGTCATGTGATGGTAAGTGTTTATGTCCAACTCTCAAACATAGTATTTCCTTGAAATATGTGTGGGAAAGGATTACCACTTGTATCTGAAACTAGATTTTGGACCTTGTAAACTATAACTTAGTTTGATTCAGTGTCATTTATTTTTTACTTAAAAAGAAACTCTTTATATATTCTAACATTGTCCAAATTTGCATGGGCTCGACTACGGTGTTGAGGCATTGATCAACTACCGTCAAATCCTAAACAAAAGTTATTTTCACACTTTGCACTTTGCATGCACCATAGCTATTGTATAGGTAGCTACATCTGTTTAGCCACAGCATACAGATCAGATCACACAACACATGCAGAAAGGTAAAGTACAATTCTCAATACAGTCTCTAACTCTGTAAATGGTAATGTAAACAATTTGAGTGTTATTGATTAATGGCGCAACTCCAATAATTCATCAATAGCAGGTATCAAGTTTGGTTTGGTCAGGAACTCTGATTATTTTTAAAAAGCTTACCAATACTTGGACTGGCATTGGTTATTTTTAATTTCTTAATATCCTAATGGAAGTGAATTTTCCTTTAGAATTTAATAAAGCGTTATTGAATTAAATATTATAAATGGCAGATTAACTGAAGTAATAGAAGATATATTGGTAAAACACACACAAAATATAAATGGTTGTTTAAAAGCTAATCATTCACAAAAAAAAAAAAAAAAATGAATTTTAGCCTCAACCTGTATAGATGGGGTTTCTATATCTTTATTCTGAGCAGAGTTTTGTATTAATGGTCTAATTAATGTTTGGAGCATAAGCTGTGCTTTTCTTTCTTTCTGTCCTCTTAGTTGTTCTGTAGTCACAAAGCAGCATACCAGCCACAGTTTTTGTAGATAGGGTTCCATTTCGCTAAATTATGCTTGACTCTCAAGAGGTGAGGGATGGTACCTTTAAAGTATGCAACAGATATTGTTTTCCCAAAGGATTTCCCTTCTCCTTATACAGAGACTTAGATTGATACCATCTGTATAAAATTGGTCTCTGGCTGCATCGAAAAGGTTTCCTCCCTTTTGATTGTCAGGAGACCAAAACTGCATACATCTTTTCTTTAGTAGGTTTCAGACTTTAAGAGTTTCTTGTATATCCCTGCTGGGTACTAGTGGAATAAAAGGGTGAATTTAATAATTGGTAGTTATTTAGAATGAGGGGATAGAAAACTATTCTTGTCAACTTGCATTAGGGGAAAAAATAGAAAAATAAAACAGATCTGTATTGTTTTGTTTTCCCCAAATGTATTTTGTTCCTCACCCAAAAATATTTGCAGCTGCTTATGTAAAAAACTTAATCTGTGCCTTAAAAATATTTGACCCTGGCACAAAACGTGTATTAAGGCATGTATTGCTTTCTCAATTTCCTGTCATTTCACATGCAGTAGAACATTAATATTATTAATCCTCACCATGATAGAGGGACTATGGGCCCATAAGGGTAACATCGTGAGGTAAGGGATTCTGGAAGTAGGAAATGAGGAGATAAAGAGGATCAAAGGAAATGGAAAGTATCAGAAGAATATGATCCAGGCCTGGATGAGGTGACCTTATAAATAAAAAGGCCGGTCTTTTCTAGAAAAGGTGGAGGAGTCACCATAAACCTAGTGAATGAGAAAAGAGTAGGACAAAAGTGTAAAGGTAGGTGAGGAAGAGGCCGGGAGACACTTAGTTGGAGGGCAGTGAAGAGGCGACATGCACAGCTCATTGAAATGCAGGGGACATGCTGGCTGCAGCTGCACCTATCAAATCACCACTTCTTGCTCTGACAGGCACAACCATTTCTGCTCATCTAGGGGCAGCCAACTACTCCACCCCCACAAACACGACCTCACAGATTTTACACACTATATTCTGCCGGCCTACACAGTGCATGTTATCATTCAGTGATAGTCTTTTAGATAACCAAAGCCAATTCTGCATTCTTAGCACTGGTATACCCACTCATCCTGACTCACAAGCATCAGACATCTGTTCTTGCATAACACGTACCCTTTGTTATATATTCTGTTTTCTTAGAAATTTGTCATTGTCAAAGCCTCTTATTTTGGTTTATTTTTTTTTATATTTGACTTATTATGCAGGCAGATGTACTAAATCCACCCTTAGCACAAGGCAGTGCTTTGAAGCAGTAACTTTAAGGAAACTATTTGCAGTTATTCATTTTTCTATGAGTTTTTTGTACCACTTTAAGGCACATCACAGTCTTTGTTACCTAAAGAGTTGATGCATATGAGTTATTTTAAATGGCCAATATATATTCTTACTCTTGAAAAACCGACTATGTAAGTTCGGAGAAGACTGAAGACTGAGCGTCTTTGGCCAGGTCATGTGACCTGGAAGAATGCATTGCTTTACAGCCACAGGCTCTTATATAGTCATGGAGCTAAGGCTAATGCTCTAATATTTTTCCACCTGCTCAAATACTGGTCATGGCTGAGCCAAGGAAAAAGTTGAAACCTTCTGAGGAAGCTAAAAAGAGAAAACGCGAAAGGGATCACGCCTGAGGGAAAGCATGATTCGATCATCGAAAGGCATTTGTTCGGTTTTGCAGGCTGAAAAAAGAAGCCAAATGTAAAACCAGTTTTCTTTTCTCAACTTTATTATTAGACTGACAAATTAACACTTTGCCTCTACTATACAGTCATACATTTTTTTTTATTATTTTCTGATGTTTATTTGAAGCAAAATACAGGCAGTTGCAGGTCTAGTACCCCAAGTGGCCAAAAGTTACACTGTAAGTCTTTAAAATGTTCCTTTATTTCTATAATTCAATTCATAGTAAAACTAGTACACCACAAAGATTAATATATCATGGGTGATAGATTTCAGCCATTTGCTTTTAACTTTATTATTATTGCTTACAACTACTTAAAAGCCCAAAGTGTCAATTCCAATATTGGTGTTATCAACAGACAATCAACACGCAAACCAAGGTTTCCTTAACAGCCTAACTTTCAACAGGCTGTTGGCCTCCAGACCGTGCTGCATTTCTGCAGTAATTCATGTGAAATAAACAAAATAAGTGAAATAAGGCCATGAGTTTTACCTTCTGGATTGACTGACTAACATAAATCTCCATCACAAGTATAATTTAAAATTAACCTCCAATCTATAATGCTAATTATGTGCTATGACTTTTACCAACTTCATATATAGTAGTTACAAAGCTGTAACATATGTACTAAGTACAGCTTTAGTCTGTTTAAAGACTCTTAGTTAATCATTCTAAGAATAATTGGTTAAAACCATACATTGAAGGATTTTTCCAATTGTTTTGCAATAGAATTAAAACTTTACCACTAAATCAAGACTTTTTTATCTCCTTATTTTAGTCATCAAATAGAATTAGTTTATTCTGATCCAGGCTAGTGTTGGATTTGTCATCCATACACACCGGTCAGCCTGTCATACTTCCTCAGCTTACCTTAAAGGTCACCATAAATGCACATCTAATTTGGTCCAATTACAGAATGCTTTTCTACAAGGAAGTTTCTTAATTAATTCTTAGGAAAAAAACTCAAAATATCCATCCATTCCTGATCATATTTGGATTATATATATTTTTTTCTGTTCCTTTAAATGTAAGCCATGTGGATCTTAGCTGATATGCATTTTTTTTCTTAACATTCAGAGCAGTGATTAGTTTTAAAATTTCCAACAGTTAATAAGTTACCCTAAAATATGTACTGTGACCTATCAATTTTGTCAGCTCTAAGACAAAGCAAGGGTAGCTTCAAACTCACTGGTGCTTCTTGAAAGGTCATTGTCTGCACACATCTCCTCAGTGAATTGATTGTGTAATGAAATGTACTCCTATGGTTTATGTTCTATCCCCAGGTCCAATAAGTTTCATTATTATTGATGGGTTTTTAAGACATTTAGGACTTTTAACAGCTTTGAATTATATCTGCCTCAATAAATGTATATTCAATCAATGCAGTTCATGGTAACTTAACTTAAACTTTCTGTGCATCTGAAACTAGAAGTACAAAAGACTTTTTTGACATACCAAAAATGGACCATTCTTTAAAATTATTTGGGCATATTTTCAGCCGAAGCTGTTTTTTTATTATTTCCTGTAGATTAACTACTGCTTTCCAATATACGTACATTGAAAAAAAAGTTAAGTCCATGACAAAGTTCTGCCAAAAATAGTAGAACTTTGTGACTTAATTAGATTTTAAAGAGAGGGACAAAATTTGGGAATCTGAACAGTAGTGATGTTATGAGATGAGCCGAGGCTTTGAGGCGTGTGTCAGGGGGCGTTTCCCCGATGTGCGTGTCGAGGCGTGATTCAGTTAGGGGAGGGGCCAAAATTGAGGACGTCCGAAGCCTCTCTACCGTGATACCACGTAACCGCTTCAGCAAGTGCTTCAGACCGCGCTCAGCCTTACTACTTAGTCTAGATGTGGGAGTTTGTAGGAGATTTGCTGTCATTTGGAGTTTTGATAGATTTTAAGAATAGATTGGTTGGTAAAACAACCAATTTAGTTGGTTGGTTAAATCTCTTTTGGTTAGATTAAACAATATAATGATCAGAATTTGAGCAAGCCACTGGTTATAGTTGTAACATTAGGGTTAACTAGTGTTGCCTTTTACTGAGCAGTCACCATTGCTAGTGGTGTCAGTTGTAAGACATTGACTTCCATTTCTGAGTTTGTTGGTTCAAGACCCATCTTAGACTTTTAAAAGCTGCAGTAATACTTAACAGGTATTTTGGGTCAATGTGACTAATTTGTATTGGTTTGGCCTAGTACAAATATGGATTGGGTAAAAACACTGCCAAATTAGATTGGTTGGTTAAGCCAAAAGATTGGTTGAACACATAACTTCCAACCAGATTAAAACCAAAACCTGTGGAAAAATTGTTATTTTTCAATAAAAATGACTAACACCTTTCATTTTGCTCATCATTACCCAATTCGCACAAGCACTTTCACTCTCTGCTTTAGCTTGTTTCACTAAAATGGC